TTTACTCTATCAGAACAAAAATAGCTATTTTTCATGAATTTAGAAAATCCGGTGTGGAAATAATGTAGACATGAAATGATACGATACTCAACGGGTTCTGTGTTAGCTACTGGAGCTTGGAAATTAGGATCTGAATGCTTAATTCCCAAAGAAATTTGAAAAATAATATTGAAGTATAAGGATTGAAGTAAAAAATTTCAGCTTCGAGAGCCGAGCCATTTTATATCAAGGCTTAAATTTCTTTTGGAGAATCTACTTAATTATCGACGCTAGTTCAAAATGTGTTAAGTTCTGGAGCATGGAACGAGATTTTACTTCAGCTGAGAGGGCTAAGAAATTTCACAATTAGGCTCCAAGTTCCGCGATGTTTTTGAAGATCAAAGCACAAAATTTTGAAAAAAATTTTCTCCTTTTTTCATGTATTCCTGTGTTACACCAAATAACAGCACGAACGATCTTTCCTCCTCCTAATAATTATATAACTAGATAAACTACGTTTCGTTTTAAACCCAAATTCCTGGTCTTGAGTTCATATTTGATAAGAGGTGGTCGTGTCGAGTATAGCCTAAATTTAACATTTAGACAATTAACGCTACTGTTCAAACAGTAGATAATGTGGTACATAAACCAGAAAATGGGCAAACATTGGGATATTATAGAGTTTGAGGACAAGAAAATTTTACTTATGAGTATGAAATTTGAATATACTAACTAGCATTTTGAATTCGCGTGCTTCACAAACCTGATGTGGTTTTCTTCAAACTTTTTCACGATTGCAAGAAATTCATAAACTCATTAATTTACTCATTCTTCATTATTAATGTGTATAATATCGTACGAAATTTTAGCAGGTGATAAAATTTGAAGCTAGAGATGATTTGAATCGCGCTTATGTTTGATCGAAAACATTCGTTTACTCTTGCTACTCAATATTGGGGAGAAATTCTAACACGAGTGCCCACGAGAAATTAAACACGGAAAATATTCCGTACAAACCTCGTACTACTCCAAAACAAAGCCGAAATCCCAAAGGCAATCTATTTTCCTCGCCATGAATTGTTTTCTTTATCCAAAAACTGTACGCAAAATGAAGGGCGGAAATCTTGCCAAAACACGCACCATCTCGTAATTTTGTTGAAAAAAATTTGAGAAAACACAATTATGCTCTCAACTGGCAGCGTGCGCTTGAATTGTTCATACTCAGTAATTTGATTTTTAATGGTCAGCCAGCATAACAGCAAGAGTTTTGAATTTTGCATATTCTTTTCCATAAAGAGAGATGAAAATAAAGATTTATTCGTGATGAATTAACAGCCACAATCGCATTTCAAAGGTCTCATTTATTTTTTCATAAACAAATGAACTTGTTTAGATCGTTTTTCTTCCTAAGAGATATTCACTTTTTCCTCGATTTGGAAAAAAAAATATTCACCACAAAATGAAATCACAAAAATCTACATTTCTTAGCCGTAAAATGAATCCACCCTTACTGGTTTATGTAACATTAAATTCTGAATTGGCGATTCTATTTTAAAGAACTCAAGACCAGGCATCAGATTTTTAAAGATGTTGCTTCCAACGTCGCAAGAGAACATTGGTGCATACGTTTCAAACAACAGAAAAAAAATCTAAATAAAGCCCAATTACATTGTACTATTACTTAAATAATGGCCCCTAAGTTAAAGCCAATGTCCTCTTGCAAACTGGAAATGGCCTCAGTTGATGGGACAGAAGGCTTAGGACATACGAGTTTAGATGGCACTGTACTGGTTTCCATTTTTGAATTTGACAGCAAATGGCTCTTTTTCGAGCAAATTAATTCTACATTTCGAGCAAATTAATTCTACATTGATGTCGAGAATGAAATATCATTAACATCAATTTCGCTTTTATTTAGCCAATTTTCCTAAAATGTCTCAAGTAATGCTGAAAGTTGTTTCAAAATGAAAAAAAAATTATTAAAGACTGAAAATTTTCGAATATGCACTGTGATCGGTGAGTGTAACTGTAAGTCTGTTTGTGAAATTGGTGATAGAGTCCGTCCTGGGTTATTGTAATTTAATCAGCTTTCTTCACTCAGCCGTTGAAAACAGCTAGTGTTGCAGTACCCTGTACTGTCCCAATCAATAACGTGGTTTTTAAATCGATGGTGTGTAACAATGCGATGTAAAATAAAATGGGTAAAACTAATTGATTTCAAGATTTAAGTTGAGACTTCCATTTGGTCTTTGTCGGACGTCTTTTGTTACAGTGCCACCTTAAGAAAAATCACCATTTTGCAACATCAACTGAGATGTAACCGAGATACTTCCTGTTCCGCAAACCAAAATGAGCGATCTATCCCAAGAGATCAACAACTTTTTTTCCAGTTTTCAATTTTTATCTCGGTGTTCTTGAGCCAATTTTAATTTAATTACCAGCTGCTTGTAAAAGCATTGTCACGAAGTTTTCAGAGATAGTGAACACCAAATTGTGGTGTGTAGCGAAATAATGCTCAACTCATACCGTCGCTCGTGGTCTGCAAAACAATCCGTACCCTTACAAATATATCCGAAAAATGATGGCTAATTATAAATTGCAACTATTCGACACTTACCATACCCAGGGACAAGACGGATAAAGTCAACCCATTCATGAATAGGGACGTCTTCTCACAAAAATGAGATACCAAGATAGCCACCATTTTTTGATACTCCTACGTAGTAATTAAAAAGTTCTTATCTTTGTAGTATCCTCTTCAAATCCTATGACTCTAATGTGTTCTTCTGATTATATCCTTTATCCTTCCATCCCTCTATCAAAATTCCTCTTCCTGGAAAAAATAGACGTGATCAGGGACAGCTAAGTGGTTTACGTCAGCTCTAAGACGAGATAATACCGCTTAACTCTTCACACCTTAACATTAACATACATAATCTCCACACTGTCCTCTCTACATTCTATGTGATAATAACAAGGAGAATTTGATGGACAATCGGGAAGTTCTTAAATTAGAGATCTTTTCTTTTATTCTCACAACATTTACATTGGATTCAAGCGTTACACTGTAAGGAGAATTTAGAGCCTGGTCACTCACGAGTGAAAGAGTTATGAGGACTTGTGACAAGGGGAATTTGAAATAAATTTTGAATCATTTTATTTTTTTGGTTATTCACTCAAAAGTTTGTTGAGAAGGTATTTGGTAAAGAAGTGTTGAAATTTTTATCAAAGACCCAGTTTAATCAAAATTAGATAACATTAGCGCTGGACCTAAAGATAATTGTACATTTTTCTCAAAATGTTCCACAACCAAATGCTCTGCTTTTGCAGAGGCCGACATCCTTACTCACTCGAACTACAGCTGAAGAAACGCTTAGACCAAATACAACTGCCACGTGTTGACTCGTGTAACCAAGATGCTGCAACTCGTTCAGCTTTTTGAAGGATTTTAAGGCAATATTTTCAAAACAAAAGCTCACCTTTTTTTAGTTTGCAACGACTGCCTTCGTTGCTCTTCTTTATCAGTCAAGCGTTTTATTTCTTCCAGAGGCTTACTTTTCTTCAGCACAAATGTACGACACATCTTCACTCCTCGACAGACAGCGTGGTTTGTTGAAAATTTTGCAAATTCTGATGAATATGGATTACCTATTCTAGCCAATCATATTGACGAAACGTCACAGAGTTGGCGAAAAAATTCGTTTGCACGCTCAACCGGCTAATTAGGAATCAAGAAGAAAAAGAGAGGCATTGTTTGTAACTAGTTTGTATGTTAAAGGAAAATTAGTAGCAGTTTGCAAACTGCCTTGCAAAAACTACTCTGTTGTTTATCGAAGAAATGTAAAATGGTTTCCGTGTTTGCAAAGCCTGATGTAAACACGCGGGAGGTTGGGAGAACACGAGATAAGCGTAGGAAACCACGACGCGAAGCTTTCCGAAGGTTTCTCGCGAAGGTTTCCAGCTTATCGATAGGCTGGAAACCACTCCGCTTCGCGTCGTGGTTTCCTACGCTTATCTCGTGTTCTCCCAACCTCCCGCCTGTTTACACCAGGCTATGTAAACACGGAAACCATTTTACATTTCTTTTATAAAATAACTAATGAAAGAGGAACGAAAACCGTGTTTACATACGCTCATGTAAAATGGTTTTATGGCCAATCAGAGCGCGCGTACTATTTGAATAATAGCGTACTATTTTATAAAAAGTATTCTTGAACTGTGAAAGGATTGAATTAATTCGCCATGCAGTCAGAATTGGCGGCTAGATTTCCGTAAAGCCCCACTCTTCATTATGCGAACGGCTTCTTGCTAACACAACAAGAGAAAGAAAACGGTAGATTGCCTATGGGATTAAGGATTTGCGCTAGATTTCCGCACGGCTAAATACTTCGTTAAGCACACAGTTCTTCGAATAAGAAACAATGGAAAAAAAGAAGTTTGCCTCTAGGACTACCGCTTTGTTTTACAATTAGTATGGATGGCGCGAAAATATTACCAGGATTTTTTTTTAGAATAGGTTGGTGTTGTATGGAAATCTCACCAGATCTTGCTTGTGATTGTACAGAAATCTTTTTTCTGACTTAACGCAAAAAGTGTTAAGGAGGAACAGGGTGCTTTGATTCCCTGAGAAAGGAATCCAAAATGAATAGATGGCTGGTATTCTCTCATTTGGGTAAATTACGTCGAGGGCGATCGGGTTCGTTGTTATTCCTCGTGTATTCTAGAACCAGGCGTATCCATCATTGTCTCAGAAGTCCTAAGAGCAAAGATTGATCAAAGGATAAAAAAAATAAATAAATAAAAAAAAAAAGGAAAATGCATAAGGAACAGTGCACATCAATTTTGGTCTGAATTTTTTAAAAATTCTGATCCACACACCTTTCAAAGATGGCTGCTCTTGTCCCATAAATCTTGTTACGAGACCAGGACAACAAGGTCTTCCCCGGCGAGAAATGGGCATCCGATGAGATTTCTTTGTTAGACGAAGATATAAGATGAAACTACACCGCCTCAAAGAAAGGCGTAAGTTTATTTTTCATTTTTATCTAATAATTTTACATAACATTTTTTTTCCGCTTCTTCCTGTGTGGAGGAGGTAGGCATGTGCCCCGCGCGTGTGAAGTACTTCCACCTTCCGCGCGCGTATTTTGGGTCAGTTTGGAGAATTTTGCGTAAAATCACAGAATATCCTGAAGTTAATATTTTTCTTTGGTTTCGTCACCACCCTGTTTGACATTATATTAATTTCACAGGGAGAAATAACTTATCGGTCACTTTAAGGAGTGGAGGGTTGTCTATTTTTTCAATGTTATAAAAAAGTAGTCTTTCCATGAAATCTCAAGTGTAGACAAACTTTGGGGTCCCTGTGCCTTCAAAGATGGACACTCGTTGCCCTGACTTGTTATTTTTTAAGAAGGAGAGGGTTCTTAAGTTTTATTTGTTAAAAAACTGTAGTCTCTCCTTGACATCTCAAAGTGTGGACAGGTTTTGATGTCCCTGTGCCCTCATAAAAGTACACTCGAGTTATGCCCTTCCGCTGACCAAAACAAAAAAGTCTCAGTAGGCTCCGTCTGTAGCGTCTTCTGCAGGCGACGTAGATAAAGGGATTTGCCAAAGTGTTTAAGAACATCAAGGCCATTGTTAGGGTGTGTTCCAAGCCGAGGTCTTCATGAGGAGTCTGTTTAAATAAGTCTACTGCTATTCGTATCTGTGGGAGAAAAGAACGTTCATATCAGTTCCTTATAAGTGTGCCCTTTAAATTATTTAAAGTGAAATTAAATGGCTGTGTAGAATTTGGGAAATCGATGTTGCGATAGTATTGATAAATTTCTGCATGGTCGACCGACGCTCGAAATATTGTCGGCGACTTCTCGATGTGTGATAAGCATCGGATCACTATCGACCGATTGTCGGTCGACCATCGGCTACCAAATTAATCGGCAATTTCTCCGTCGATGTTTGATAAATCTGGACGTAAGCATCGTACCACTGTCGGTCGATTGTCGGTCAACCATCGACTAACAAATTCATCGGCTATTGTCCGATATCGACTTAGGATACCTACAGAGTGCATTATGCAGATTTTTTTGATACTTTACTTACCAAAAGGGGGATATTGCACAGACAGAACACGAAGGCCACAGCTTTTGTCAATGACACGAAAGTGGCTGTTGTGTCCTCCATTGCGCGCCTAGTGCTCCCATGAAATGGCGTCCTCCTTGTTTTTAACGATTCTACAACGTGTATATTGAAAACAAGGACTGCAGACACGCAAGTAACACCCTGCGTGACGAGTATTCCAAGAAAAATCGTGTCTGATTTTCCAGTTGGTGTCAAACTCAAGCTGCAAAATTGGCCTGTGTCGTAATAGACAAACGCACCTACGCCAAAAAATGGCGGCGTGAAGAAAAAGCAAAGCATAAAGAAAATGAAGACCACAGCAGTTTTAATTTTCTTCATCGTGAAATTGCGTTGATGTTGGAATGGAAATGCAGTCGCAAAAAATCTCTGAAAGCTTAAAAGTGATACGATCCAGGCTGACCATAGAATGAAAATGGCGTTGACATAACCAAAAATGCCGCAAGTAATACGACCTCCCCACCAGCCACAGTTTATGAACGAAGCTACAGGCATCACACATTGCAAACCCAGTGATGCAGTGTCCGAAACAGCGAGACAACAGATGAGCAGGTGAATTTGTTTGGCTGAGGTTGGCGTTGAAATTCTTGGTTTTGCCTTGAACACAGCGATGAGGGCGAGGAAATTGACCACGAAAGCAAACACGAACAAGGGGAAAATGTCCACCTTGAAACACACTTTTTCTTCTTCGAACTGTTCAAGTGTTGTGTTGTTCATGTTGTCCACAGAATATTCGTCCATACAATGTTGTGCACGGCAGATTTTTAGGCTTCTGACTTTGTTTCAGAGGAACATCGTCGAACGATTGCAGCCTCAACGAGTTAATTTTGATGCGCGCATGTTTCTTCACATTAATCTGCTTTAGAAGTGTTTTTTTTTTCACCCGGTCTTTTCGATCGTGACATTTGCCGCATTACTAAAAAGCATTCCAGGTACTTTACAGCTCTCGCCCGTGAAGTTTTTAAATTTTCATGATCTGTTCGGTTGCCGCGATAACAAAAAAAAAAAAAAACATTTCGTTTAAAACTGATTTCAATAGAAATCTAAACAACAGATATGAATGGCATTTAACATCAGGATATCAAAAGAAGCCACCTGGATAGACGTTAAAATCAAGCCAAATAGTCCTTTTGTTCAACGTTTCCCATTATCGTTGTGATAATTCACACTATCTCGAGCCTATCTATGGTAATATTTAGTTCTGGAGTCCATTAATCGACGCGATCACTGGCCTTACTGTAGATGTGTAATCTTAGCTATTGTTCGGCCTGTGAGCCAGAGTTTTATGGCTCCTAAAGCGAGCGATAGTTCGCGTATTTGAAAGCAAAACAGTTCAATAAAGCGTTATGATTTCTCTATTAGAGGGACAAAATTTTCTGCTACCCGCCGCCATAAAATGAATTTTGTGACCTTTGAAAGAAGGGCCCTTGTTCCGAAAAAAAAAACCCTTTAGAACCACCTTCAATTTAGAACTGTGTTTCATGGTTACTAACGATTCATTTTTATGAAAGGAGTCAAGCCGGCTTACAGCTAACAATAAAAAAAAAACTTTCACGTACTCAACCAGATGTCTCCTGTGGAGAATTCAATTTCCATTTTTTGTCTAAAGCTGAGCCCTAAAGTAGACTTCCTACTGAAAGTACTTTGAATAATCCCTTGGGACATATAATGGACGAGAAAAAACCAAAAATTAAGAAATAGATATATGGCCCAGATTTTTTTCATGGATCAATAAGAATTTTAGCTTTTTTCATTTAATTGTGTCTCTAAAAATCGCAGGGAACCTATCTTCCTCTCGTTACCCTGGAATTTCAGTGAAAATACAAGTTGCTAAAGTAAAATAAAAATCGAATTGAGAGAAAATTTTTAGGTCGTTAAGTTCAGTAACTTCTGTAGATTTTACCGGATTTACGTACATTTACGAGACTAATTGGCTTCCAACATTTCCACGTAGCTTTTCTTGTTGCTAATGACATTTTTTAGTCGTTTGAATGCACTTTTCAGGCCAAAAGTTGACAGAAATGACGCACTCATCTTTAAAATGCCTTTCCACGATAATGCACGAGGTAAATAGATTAAACCCTCGGTCAATGGGTTTCTCTCGCTCACACACTATAAAAGGCGACAAAAAAAGCATGATAGACAAGCTAAGACATTTTTCCTTACTCGGCTTTCAAAAAAATGAGCTATGTAAATATATGTACTCATGATTCCGCTTAAGTGTATTTCAGAAGGTAATGAACATCTTCAGTGAAAAATGGAAAGGGGAAATGACAAAATTATACTTGTGACGTCACTGGGTAAAAAAAGAAAATTCCAGAAGATTGAAATGGTTGATTTCGAAGGTCAATTAATGCTTAGAACAAATCATCGATGGAGATAACGAAACAGATAGGATTCTATTCAACTGGGTGCAACGGTAACAACAGAGGGTTAAAAATGGGTCATTTTCGAAAATCAATAATTCTGTGCCTTGTTCGCGTTCTGGAATACAATTGAACAAATAATAGATCAAGAAGATGAAACAGATATGACTGAATTCAGTAAGGCGCTCAGAAATCGTTTATTCCTTGGGAACGATTAGGATCTGTTTTGTGAAAATAGACCCCTCTGAAAAGAATGTTTCTAAATCTGCTCACATTCCATTTTCGTGTTGGCGTCCGCCATTTTGAATTTTTATGAGAATTACCGCTGTACTTTCGGCGTTCCGGTTTCCCATTCCATGTCGTTCGTTCTTAGTCTAAGTATATAATTTTTTAGTAGTAGATGACCCACATTGCAAAAAATGAACAATTCATATTAATGCATCTTATCTGTCAGACACTTCTACGAATAAGGTGAGGGAGGCAGACTCTTACATGAGGAGTTGTATGATATACTGCTACTCATGCCACCAACACGGTACTATCATTTTTCTTTCCGAAATTAGAAAAAAAAAAAACCAGATTTTCTCGGCTGTCATATAACTTTGCAAGATGTTTAAATATGGAGTTTCCTTCCTACTTAAACCGTTAAATTATGCTAAGAAATTAAGAAGAAAAAAAAGACTTACCAGGAGTGGGGTTCGAACCCACGCGGACAATTCGTCCATTGGATCTTAAGTCCAACGCCTTAACCACTCGGCCATCCTGGTCCTGGTTGATATTAATTAGCACTTTGAAGAAACGAATATTAAAAAATATTACTTCGGAGAACGAGTGCTACCAAGGAGATACCGCGGTGTTTAATTAGTATAAAAAAGGTGAAAAACAAAATAATGAAAAAGGAAGAGTTTTACTACAGCCACACCACAAATTTCTGCCCGGTGTTGTCCAAGATGCACATCTATCTGTGAAATTGCTCAGTCATCACACACCTTCAGCAACCCATTCATGTAATTACAATTTCTAAAATTGCCTAAAACTACGCGTGTGAAATCAATCCACTGAATAATTTACATGCATTTTGTGCATTTGTTCTCTCCAAGGAGTTCTCCCTCCAAGCAATTGTTAATGTTTTGACACACGCTCACTCGAACTTAACAAGGCTCTCCGATGCAAGCCGACTCGTAGTGGATTACGCAAAGGCAGTGCAATGTTAGGGCTCTTCAAGCTCTAAGATCGACAAGCATCTAATTCCTCCCTA